AGATTGTGGTATTTAAGTGATAGTTCAGCTAAAAGTTCAAAACTGATGTTCTTTGTGTTTTTAAGAACCTAGATTGACCACTTCCTGTTGTGTACTATAATATATTAAACAAATCCAGTATTAAAAACCATGAACTAGGTCTATTATTTCAGCTCCCAAAATCTAGGGCTTTTTGTTTTGTTTTGGGCATGAATATATTATGATGTAAAGTAGTTAACCGTGGAACTCTTCAGGATGCTGTGGATAGGGAATAAATGGGGATAATTGGGTTCAATGACTGACTGTGTGAACTAGTGGAAGAAAAATCTATTGTGGGACATTAAATGGAAGGTATTATTTTTGTGTGAGGAAATCAATGACCTGCGAGTAGCTGGAACCTGGGGGGACATTTGGGGGAGGTGGTGTTACATGTTTGCTGTGTTGTCATGTGCTCTCAAATTTGTGTACAAACTCCTGTTTCAAATGTGAATGGTCTCTCAGTAAGATTTGTCATTTTGGAGTTGATCTCGCTTCCTCTCCTGTTGTCCTCTTAAGTGTGAAATTATTAGATGGGCTTGGGGGACCATATAATGTTCAATATTAGATCTTATTATTCTTTCCCAGGGAATGGCAGGAAATTTGAGATTGAGAAAGACCTTTTTTTTTTTTTTTTTTTTTCTTCTTTCTACTTACTGTGCTCCAAGGAAGTTTTACTTGTCAGGTAAATTCTTTCTTACATTCTTTGAGGTCAGTTAACAACCAGCTGATCAAAAATTTCATGCAATTTATGGATTTAAGCCTGTGTTTTGCGGAATGAACACCATGGAGAGGAACTGGTCTTCATAGTTGAGCACAGTACTCTTTAGCTATACTGAAATCCTCAGTCTTGATTATTGTAATGAATAGGTGACTTGCCAGTTAGTTTGTTTATTTCAGTAAAGTCTGCAGCTAGAGGTCTTTGAAGAGGAACAAAACCAAAATGCAAATGCCACCCCCCCACCCTGAAACCCTGTACTTCACTGAGGTTCTCTTACATCATTCCAGTAGAAAGAATGAAGTCTACCAAGTTGCTTTACAGTCTCTGGCTGTGGAAGCACTGTGCTGCAGTTACTGTTCCGTCATGATATTTCCAGGTATTTTGTCAATGAGAATCCCTGGAATGCATTCTCATCAATAAGAGTCCTCTCTTTGTGGATGTTCATTGTAATGAGGTTTCAGGATCAATACTGTATCAGCCCTATGCCCCTGAATACTTTTGAGTGCTCCCTTGTGGATGTTCTGAGCTTCTTCATTAAGGGACAAATGTGGTACTTCAATGAGGTATACAGACTTGTGGAGGAATTTCTCTTCCAAAGTGATAGGTCATTTGAAACTAGCTATGTCCCTCTTGAGAGTCTCAGTACCAGGCATCCAATTTGTGCTTTCTTCCTTCTTTCTTACTCTGACTGTATATAACTGTTGGGAGCATCTTTCTTGCCTCAAGTAGTCCCTTGATCTTTCTCTGTTGATATGGGGCGCTCCCAGTTCTGCCCACTACGATGAGTCAGATTTTCTGGCACTGTTATGTTATGTTAGAAAACTGTTCCAGAGCCATTCACTGTTGAAGGGTTCTTGATTGCTCTGTTACACGTTTTCAGGGTGCAGATTATGACTACCTAAACTAATCTAAGACTGTCATCCTGTCCCCCTCCCCCCCAATCAGTTTCCTTTCTCACAGATTTTTTTTTTTTTTTAAATTACTATTTTCTACGTGCGTGTGTGCTTGGATCTATTGCTTGTGCGGCTGTTTGGTAAGTTGTATCAGCTCTGCCCTTTCAACATCAGTGATTTCAGATTTGCTTTAGCTGATCGTAAAAGCACACCCTTATACAGCCTTTCTACTAGATGTTTATTCCCTTCTATTACATGGATGCTCTGCAGAGATCACTGACTGCAGTGCAGCAGAAGGCAAACCAAAATCAAGCCCTGAAACAGAATGAAGGTTAGACATGCTGCCAGCCTCTCTTAGCTCCTTCTGTGTGTATGAAAATTGCAAACAATGGTGCAAAACCAGCTTCTTCCCAAAGCTTATTTACTTAAAACCAAAAATATCAAATGGTCCTGAGAGATTTCTTTTTTTTGTTTGAACAAATGTCTCTTTCTTTATGCAATTTCTGGCTATTTGGGAATCAGAAGAAATAGATTATGTCTTCAAGCTTTCATAGTCTGTAATTCTTCTTTCTTGTGTTTTATTTTCAAGTTGAAAACCGAATTATTTTTACTGCAGCACTGAAGAAAAATCCAGTAATAGAGCATTAATCCATTAGAGGGCTCTGTTGTTCTAAAAATCTTTCCCCATCTCAAGTTTGTGCTTTAGCCAGTAATTACCAGGCAAATATGTCCAGGGATGTCCTCGAATCCTGTTCATATTGGAATTCACATCCATACTAGAACGACTCCCAGAGAGGCTTAGAGGGGTTTATTATAACTGCAGTGCTAAAAGACACCTATTTAGACTTCTTACAATGTTGAAATGAGATCGGATCAAGCTGATTTATTGATTTCTATTACACTTGATAGAGGAGAGTCCACTGTTACTTTAAAAGATTTTTCTTCATTGTTAAAAGTGGAGAAGATTCTAAGCCAAATGCCAAATCCTAACATAACCACCATGAACTTTGTGAAGTTCAGACTGAGATCAGAACATCATGTCTCAGGCCCATTTCTAGTTAAAAAGTGATTGGTTTAGCTTGAGCTTCTGGCAGTGATATAGTGCTAGTATGAAACCATCAATTTCTTTGACTCTGTAGTGTGAATTTCTTAAACTTCCTCTCTGGAGCAAAAGTGAAAAATAGATCGTACAGAATCAATTTGTTCAACCTGCAACTTGCTGAAATTGCCATTTCTATTTCAAAATCATTCGTGCTTAAGTAAAAACATGTCATCTGATCCTTCAAGACAGCTCAAACATTGGCTTGAAATGTCAGTTTGCTGTGGTGGTGCCAGTGATAACCTCCCCTCTGTGACCATCAGAAGGGCTCTGACAGATGATTGCCTGGTCTGCTAGAATATATCCCCTTCGTTAGGGTGTGTTTAAGATTCACCGGTATTTAAAGTCAGGGAGGGCTGAGGTCTCATAGTGTTTGCACTAGAATTTGGCTTTGATAAAAAGAATTCAGGATCCTCTTTGTTACTGCCTTGGGTGGTTCTGAAATAGATGTATTTACCTGGTATATTTGAGGAAACTTTGCCAAATATAAAGACTGGGAAATGGTAGGTATGGCTGTGTGCCATAATTATTTGTGACTTTTTTTCCTCCATGCATGACTCCAAGTTATAGCTTGAATAGTGATGAGTATTTTCTGTTATGTACAAGAAATAGTATCTATTTCTTATTAAAAACCTCGTTTCGTTTTGGCTCGATGCTCTTACTGATTTCAGAGGGGTTTTTGTTTTGTCAAAGATTGAAATGATTTGCTCTGTGGCAGATGGAAACATTTATTGATGTTGAGTGAACCACTAAGAGAGTGCCTAGTAATTTTCATTTCCTCTCTAATGCTAATAGTGCATTTAAAGCAAAACTGGACAACATCAAAAGATGTGTTACAGGAAATTATATTAAACAAGTAGAATATGGCAAAGGGTATGATAATGTAGAGAACCGGTAAGAAGATAGATGGAAGGACAAGTCAAAGATGATGCTTGAGCTTGACATTCTGAAAGAGAGGAAGTTATGTGAGTATCAGTGGAGGGAAGCAGAAGGGATGCGTTCATGTATCTCTGTGAGCGTAAGAACAGAGGTACACTCTTATCGCTGTTAAGAGTCACAGGCTTAAAGGGGAGTGCTTTGAGCAACCTCATCTAGTGAAAGATGTCCCTGTCCACGCAGCGGGGTTGGACTAGATGATTTTTAAAGGTCCCTTCCAACCCAAACCATTTGATGTCTCTCTATTTCAGAATCAATGTGGCTGAGATTCAGGGGCAGTCTTAAAAGTCTGTGACTTTTTGGTAATTTATAATGATCAATGGGAATTGATCATTACAATGAAATGGGAAAAGCAATGGGAAAGCAATGGGAATTTATAATGATCCTCTGCAAGGGATTGTTCATTAGGAAATGTTCTGTTTTGCCCTGGAGAACACACAATCCTGATTAATATTCATGAACATGATGGATGAGGAAGAGAAACCCTTAAAAAAATTAAGTAAAGGATCTGTTAAGTACAGTAGAAAGTGCCTAACAATGGAAGGTGAATAGAGAAGAGTAGTTAAATGAAGTCCTGAAGATGAGTAGTAATGATTGTTTGTCATGCTAAAGTAGCATGAGAAAGTCTTTTTAATGTATTTAGAGTCTCTGTTGTATCATCATGATAATACTGGTAAATACAAAATGAGTCCAAGGTGATGGCAACAGCAATACGAAAGAAGAGTTGGGGAGAGGAGTTGAATGTAAATTGAGTAGAAAGAAAAATAGTCACTTAAAGATTTTGAGATCCAATGAGGAACCCTGAGCAAAGCAACTGACAGTTTTGGAAAGGAAGCCAGGGAAAGAAATGGGGGATTAAAGGCAAGGAAAGAAAGCGGGAGGAGGAACGGGAAGACCTAGCTGATTCCTGTTTAATAGTAAACATATCAGTCGGTTCTCGTAGGAGACATGCTGAAGAACTACT